GTATATATATATATATATATATATATATATATATATATATATATATATATATATATATATATATATATATATATATATATATATATATATATATATATATATATGAATATATATATATATATATATATATATATATATATATATATATATATATATATATATATATATATATATATATATATGCAATGTGAAGTTATATATTTTTTTTTAAAACATATATTTGTAATTTAAAAACTTATTACTATTATTATTATTCTATATATTATTATTATACTATAATACTATTATTGCTGTTCAGATTGTCTGTTTTAAATATATAGTTTTTTCTTTTAGTTTATGCATCGACTTCTCACGAATTATACACAGAGTCGATTGTCGATGCAATAATTGCTGATTCGTGAAAGCGGGCAACTTTTGCTTGTCTTAAAGTGCCTTAAATCCAACAGATATCATCGTTATAATATTAATTTGTTTGTAAATTGTTTTAAAAAATAAATTTAAAAATAACTTATAAATAAATTTTTAATTTTTTTTGTTTTTTAAACCAACAGGTTCTTTTAAAAACAATTTAATAATAGTACCTATGGATTTAGGAATATTTTCTAAAAAATAACGTCTTTTAAAAGTTTAAAAGACGTTTTTTTATGGTTTAATTTAGGTTATTTGAAAACGTTTTTTAAACGTTTTTTTTAGAACATTTTTTAAACGACTTTTTTAGAACGTTTTTTAAACGCTTTTTTAAAAACGTTTTTTAGGTATTGCCATTCAGAACGTTTAAAAAACGTTTTTTTTCTTAGTTAAAAAAACGTTTTAAAAACGTTCATGTTCTTACTGGGATATATATATATATATATATATATATATATATATATATATATATATATATATATATATATATATATATATATATATATATATATATATATATATATATATATATATATATATATATATATATAGATATATATATATATATATATATATATATATATATATATATATATATATATATATATATATATATACATATATATATATATATATATATATATATATATATATATATATAAATATATATATATATATATATATATATATATATATATATATATATATATATATATATATATATATATATATATGTATGTATATATATATATATATGTGTGTGTGTGTGTGTATATATATATATATATATATATGTGTGTGTGTATATATATATATATATATATATATATATATATATATATATATATATATATGCAATGTGAAGTTATATATATATATATATTTTTAAAACATATATTTGTAATTTAAAAACTTTTTACTATTATTATTATACTATATATTATTATTATACTATAATACTATTATTACTGTTCAGATTGTCTGTTTTAAATATATAGTTTTTTCTTTTAGTTTGTGCATCGACTTCTCACGAATCATACACAGAGTCGATTGTCGATGCAATAATTGCTGATTCGTGAAAACGGGCAACTTTTGCTTGTCTTAAAGTGCCTTAATTCCATCGTTATAATATTACTTTGTTTGTAAATTGTTTTAAAAAATAAATTTAAAAATAACTTTTAAATAAAATTTTTATTTTTCTTGTTTTTTAAACCAACAGGTTCTTTTAAAAACAATTTAATAATAGTACCTATGGATTTGGGAATATTTTCTAAAAAATAACGTCTTTTAAAAGTTTAAAAGACGCCTAAATTATGCTTTTATTTAGATTGTTTTTTAAACGTTTTTTTTAGAACGTTTTTTAAACGACTTTTTCAGAACGTTTTTTAAACGCTTTTTTAAAAACGTTTTTTAGGTATTGCCATTCAGAACGTTTAAAAAACGTTTTTTTTCTTAGTTAAAAAAACGTTTTAAAAACGTTCATGTGCTTACTGGGGTACTTGTAAAATAAAAAAAAAATAAAATACATTTTTTAAATTCTGACAGGAGCAAGCAGAAGACAATACATCTTATTATCTTGCCTCTTTGATAGTAAAATAGTTAACTTTATTTACATGATTAAGTTCGTAAAATCTATAATTATAAAATTAGTTTATTATAAAATTACATATTTTTGAGTTAAACATACATATTCGTATTAGTAAATACATAAAAATACGACTTAAAAATACAAAAAAATATTTTTGTTGGTTAGATTTAACAAATGTTGTTTCACAGTTTTTTTAAATGCTTTAATTGAGGCTATAGATTTTATGTCATTTTTCAGGATTGAGTTCCACAGACGTGGACCCCGACAAGTAATAGAGTAGTCCGATTTTTTAAGAGTTGTTGATGGTATGTAAAAATTGTCAATAGAATATCTTGTTAAGTATCTGTGATTAACTAAAGAGAAATAAGGCTGAAAATATGATGGAAGCATGTTATTGTGAAGTTTAAACATAAACAATAAATTTTGATAAATGTTTAGTTCGAATACATTCAGAGCTTTAATTTCTTTTAGTAAAGGCTTGGCGTGTGCATATCTGTCTGCATTAAAAATTGACCGAGTCGCTTGTTTTTGTTTGCTATAAATTTTTTTTAGTAAAGACGAGTAATTAATTGCCCAAGCTATATTACAATAACTAATATAGCTATGTATAAATGAAAAATACAAATTTTTGAGGCACATATTATTCAAAAGGTGCCTCATTTTGAACATGATCCCCAAGGTTAAAGAGATTTTGTTTTCTAATAATTTAATATGATTTTTCCAATTTAAATGTTCATCAAATAATATACCTAAAATTTTCATTGAATGAACATTTTTTATTTTAATGCTGTTTATAAATAAATCTGGAAGTTTAAGGGGTAAGTTATCAGTTTTTGGGGGTTTTGTGAACAAAATGTATTTCGTTTTATCATTATTTAAAGAGAGTCTATTAGCTTTAAACCAGTCGTTGAGATTTACTAGTTCAGTGTTAACAGTAGAAAAAATGTACTTTAAATTATTACCAGAAAAGAAAATATTGATATCATCCGCAAAAAGAATGAAATTTAGTAACTCGGAGGATAAATGGATATCATTTATATATATGAGAAATAGTAGAGGACCAAGAATTAAGCCTTGGGGGACACCATAACTAATACTTTCTAATTGTGTACTTGTTAAGTCATAACAATATTATATCGTGATTTATTCAAAAGATACTTACTTTAAAGTTATATACTACTATATATAAATATATATTAAAAAAAAAAAGATTTGAACAGTCTCACTATCTATAGAATCCTCAGGAAACTAATTTATTACATCTTAATTTTTAATGATTACCGAGCACTCTTTAAAAAGCATACTCTAACGAAATTAACACACATTTAAATTTTTTATTTAGTGGTTTACATTATTTAGTTAAGAACAATTTTTAAATATTTAACATTTTAGATGCCAAGGATTATGAAATTTACACAAAATAGAAAATAAATTCATTTATTAAACATTTATAACAAATAAAAAATAAGATGCTCTAAGAGAAAATTAAGCAATGAAAAAAACAAAAAAATGATTGTGAATATAAGAGATATTCAATTATTTTATTCACGCATAAATATAATTATTTTTCAATAATAGCCAATTATTTAAGGCTTGAATAGCAACTTTAAACATCTCTCTCCAGAAGCTGAAAATTTTTTGTCAACACTGTCTTTATCTAGAACCATTTCTATATAAATTAACATTAAAGCTAGGTCATTTACCAATCGAGTTTGTAAAAATTGGAATTTGTTACCAAATGAAATCATTGAAGCAACATCGTTGAATGTTTTCAAAGCGCGAATAGATAAACATTTTTCATAACTTGTATTTTTTTAATTTGCGTGGGCTGTTTATAACCCGATGCTTGCATCGCGTTCCACAATTTATTTTATTTTTAAATATTTATATTTAAACAAATATGTAATTGTTACAGCAATAAATATTACTATACTATTACTGTTACTACTATTCAATGACTTTTTAACACTCTACTTCTTGACTAAGTTTTTAATCTCTTCGTACCTAGATTTAAATCTTTAAAATGTTCGAGAATGTTGGGGGGGGGGGGGGGGAGGAAATCAGTCGTTGTCATGACTTTTGTTTAAAAAATACTAGATGGGGGTTTTGAATGATCTTTCTAAAGAGGCTTCCATAATCTTAGCATTTGTAAATCTTAGTTAGTTTTCAGGTAACTTAACATAACAGTTGAAATTGCAAACATCCCATATAAACCAAATTGCTTTCTGTTTTAAATCTTATATAATTAATAAGCTCATTAATAAGATGGTCCAGCAAAGGCAAAGTGATAGAAAGCTTAAAATAATCAGATGATGAATCATTATCATGATAATTTGCTTTCTATATTTTCTAGTTTTTTGTTTTCTTTTACATTTAAAGTCAAAGCTAATTCAAAAGCAATATTAGACCAGTTGTAGCGATATAAATCAATACCAAATTTAAAGTCTTGAAGCGTGTTTAATTGTCAATTTCAAATTCTGAAACTTGAGACATTTCGTATTGCTTATCTTGGAATCTTTACGGTTGGACGTTAAAAGAACCAATACAATCGTTTTTAGAACGTTTTTTTGTAAACGTTTTTTTTAAATGTTAATTTAAACGTTTTTTGAGCGTTTTATTTTTTTTAATAATATACAAAATTTCTCAGTTAGCTTGTGATCGTTTTTAAAACGTTTTTTAAACGTAATAAAAAAACGTTTTTTAAACGTACAGCACGGCAATATCTAAAAGGGTAAGTATGTTTACGCAAATAATGGCGTGACCTTCGATTAGGCGAATTGATTTATTTAAGTAAAAATTATATAAATTAACATATCCTTAAATCAACCATGTGTATTGTTTTCTTGTAGAATTAAATTTGAAAATATATTGGAGTATTTTTAGTTTAAAGTTGGATGCCTTCATTGAAACTACCCAGTAAGCACAGGACGTTTTTAAAACGTTTTAATTCCGTTCAATTTACGGTTGGACGTTAAAAGAACCAATACAATCGTTTTTAAAACGTTTTTTTGCAAACGTTTTTTTTAATGTTAATTTAAACGTTTTTTTAGCGTTTTTTAAACGTTTTATTTTTTTTATTAACTTACGGTTAGCTTATGAACGTTTTTAAAACGTTTTTTTTAACGTGATAAAAAAACTTTTTTTAAACGTAATATTTAAACGGCAATATTTAAAAGAGTATGTTTACGCAAATAATGGCGTGACCTTCGATTAGGCGAATTGATTTATTTAAGTAAAAATATATAAATTAGTATATATTTAAATCAACCAAGTGTTTGTATTGTTTTTTTGTAGAATTAAATTTGAAAATATATTGGAGTATTTTTAGTTTAAAGTTGTATGCCTTCGTTGAAACTTGGTTGTGTTTGTATTTCTACTTGAATCAAGTAGATATGATTAATAAAGTTTTAATGGTGTGGTTAGCTAGATTATTTTACTCTAATAAGTAACTTAATTGTTGAGTAAACTTGAATGCTTAAAAAAACTAGATTAAGTTTTTAATTCTACTTAATCATCAACTGCTTTTAACGCAAAAAAATCTATTTGGATTTGACAAAAGGTAACAACATTCTCAGACTTTTTCTTCTTTAACTCTAAAAATTAAGAATAATATCAGTGGTTTTTATAAAGGAATTACTATAGTTAAAAAAGGCTGAAAGGAAAAAATATAATGATTTGTTTCAAGAAAGGGAGTGACTTACTTCAAAATGTCATTTAAAAATTTTTATTCTTTAATGATATTCTGGTGTTATTACCAAATGTTTAGCAGTATGAAACCTATAATATTATATACCATACTATATACCCTATTTTACTTATAAAGTTAATAATCTGTAAAGTAATTTGTAAAAATTTTTTAATTGTAAAATTGCAAAATGAGAAGACAAGTTGTTAGATGAAATTCAAATATTCTCTATGTTTGTGTTGTGTAGGTCAAAAAATAATAAACAAAGATGATATTGATTGTGATGACCAAGAGATTCATTTTAAGACACATCAATCTTCATCATCTTTAAATAAAAAGGATAAACATTATGGATTTCCATTATCTCAAGCAAGTAAGTCTTTAGTTAAAAATAATAATGTAATGTTTGTTGTAAAATGCTAACATGACTGTCAATATTAAAAAATATCATTAAAATGATGAGGTTCCAATTTTAACTTTGAATAATCACCTTCATGAAATCCATTATTTCAATATTATCAAAACTATAAATCTATGGAACAATCTTTCTTGTCTAATCCGAAATCTGAGAAAAATGCTAATATATATAATATAGCATTGCCACTATTAGGTATTTTACTGTCTATTAGTTTTTCTCTGATTTAGGCTTAGACCAGTAAAGTTGTTAAATTGTTAAATTTATGTATTTTAAATTTATTTACGTAGTTTAGTTAAGACAATGTAAAATTTAATTAGTGTAAATTTGTTTAGACTTTCAATATTATGTGTTGCTTCTCTTAAATGAGATAAAAACCCAAGGATGCAAAAAACTTAATATAAAATAGTGTGAAAAAGAAGTAGTAACTGAAATTAACAGCATAATAAAATTTGTTAAGTTTGACTCAGCACTTGACAATGTTTCATCTAGTA